TAAACACGCTCGCTTGCTCCTTAAAAACGTCCTGCAGCAGAACGGGGGGAAATAATGATTGAATAATGTTGCACCATAAGCCTCTAATCCCTCGGCTCATTTCTCCCCCTCGTATAAAAAAAGATGGGAAAGACCAACGAATGTGCTGACGGCAAATTCCCAGAGATGGGACCAGGAGGAGGAGGAGGAGGAGGAGGAGAGAACACAGTAGAAAAACGAAGCGAGAAAATAATAAATGAGATGTGCGACCGCCTGAAATCACAGCGCTCAACGGTGAGAGACCTTTTATTCACAACGCTCCATCCAAGCGCTGAGCCCACAGCCAGCGCTGTTCTGACCCACCAAAAGGAATGCCCAGCTGGTCACAGGCTTAAAGGTTTCAGATGAACGGGGTACATTTGATGTTCTCATGCGTTGTGTCACATGACAATCAGGACAGAAGAAAGAAGAAAGATGGCGAGCTGCTAACTAAACTAAACTGATGAATGAAAACATTTCTGACTGGGTCATTTTTAAAGGAGGGCTGTGAGCAGCGTTCTCCGACTCTGGCTTCATTTATTCCTACAACAGACTTTTACACTTTAACAGATGAAGCTGCCTGAGTCGCTCAGCTTATCACACTCTGGTTTTCTCAATGTGAAGGCTGGATTAAATTAAAGAGGTTGCATTATTCATGAAACATATTTATCACATTTCAGGGTTATGCTGAGCGTGCATACTAATCCTGAGTCCTGAAAATGTCTTCAATACTCATGGGAGGATCATCTATGACACGCTGACGAGGCAACATGACGAGTCTTTACTGACACAAAGTTGTTTCAGTCTGTAGAACGTGAATCAGGCTGTCATGGCTGTATGGAAACCCTTTGTCCACTCCGGTGATCAAATCAGTAGTAGGGCACTTTTAAGAATTGCTTGTCGATCGCTGCAATGGCAAATTGTCTGTGTCCTTGTGTGTTGAGTAAATGTTGTGTTGGATCAACCAACCTTTGGCTTTTTTACCCTGATTGTGTCTACAAAAGTGCATGCCTGTTTAATCAGCTTTCTCCCTCCGATCATGAAAGAGACGTTGGCAGGAAATATCTGCAGACCTTCAGCTGACAGGGAACATTTGTTATGATTAAAGTGCTATTTAGCTTGTGTTTAACGATGATGCAGAGTGTGTGAGAGAGCGTGTTTGCAGGTGTGTGTATTTCAGCAGTGCGTACAATCGTATACAATCTACGCCAGGCTTAAGTGTTGAGGACCCTTTTATAAGAGAGTCAAACATGTGATGAGATGATGACGGACACAACCTTCTTCTTCAGAAAGAATCAGAAAGAGCACCTGTGGTAGGGTTGATAACACAGAGATGCGTCGCCCTAGGCTGGGCGGCTCCAAAAACACCTGAGCACATCTGATGGATACACAGCTGGGAGCGACTGTGGAGCGGGGCTGCCTCACACGGGGCACCACATAAAATAAGCAGAAAAATTTGGATTTGAGCAATCATAGAGCTCTTGACCTCCTTCCTATGACGTTGCACCTTAAAAGAAATGACAAGACTCCTGCTTGAATTGATTGGCTGTTTCGACTAAAACTGATCGTGCCCATGGAAAAGCTGCGGGATACAAGAGAAAAGGATTCTGGAAGATTTAAAACAAAAACTAAAGTTATAATTATAAACCATCAGTAACTTGTTTCCTCTCAATAACCTGCCGTCACAGGAGGGAAATAGTAATGAGGTGTGAATTATAGGAAAAGCATGAAGAACCCTTCTCCCCTCTCCTCCCCTCGCTTTCACTCTCTCTCTGCGGCTAACCACCAGACGCTAATGATAGTGTAGACAGCAGCGAGGTGGCGGTGGCGTTAGTGCGCTGTGGTTGTAATGATAGGTTTCAAGACAGATAGATGACCGAGTCAGACGGCGACCGTCATCATGTTCTCGTTCAGTGTCACAACATCAGTTAGAGCTCAGCAGATATTTGAAATCTGCTATGAGGTGCATGTGTGAACAACCAGGTAAGGAGGATTTCCAGGAGTGCCGATGTGAAAACGGCTATAAATAGAGATTTGTGCACTTCTATGAGCAGTTCTATGAGCAGGTATTTAGAGGCGTCCCAGCATGCACTGGGGAGCTCCACTTTTTCACTCTGTTGTTAAACATGCCACACACACATACTGTAGACTGAAATACACACATGCACAAACATGATCCTATGGACATGCACTAATGGAGAGATGGCAGAGTGAAGGCTGCACATGAAAGAGTGCATGAGCAGTTTGGGGTTCAGTGCCTTGTTCAAGGGCAGTGCTCTGGAAGGGACCTGGCACCTCTCCAGCGTCCTGGCCAATATCCAGACATGGTCCGTAACAGGGCTTGAATCGGTGACCCTCAAGTTCCCAAACTGAGTCCGTACAGACTGAAATCCTGCCGTCATTACAGTAGATCTAAGGTCTTTTTTTGTTTGTGCATTTTCCTGTTGTCACGGTGATCTGCAGGACAATATTCAACTTATCTACATTAGGGGCCGAGCTGCAGCTGTCACATGAAATCTTTGTAGGTTAATTAAAAATAAAGACACACAGCTGGAAAAAAGAAACTGTGTGTGTGTGTGTGAGTGTGTGTGTTTGGGTGTGTGTGTTCTCACCCTGCTGCTGGGCGTTGAGCAGTGTGGGGTCGACAGACGGCAGAGATCGGGGCACAGGCACGGGTTTAACTGCTGATGGTTAAAAAAAAAAAAAACCCAACACTCACAGTTACGACAATCAAACAGCACAATTTGAACACAACAAACATTAGTGTAAAAAAAAGCATCCATGCGCACACAGCTCGCATGAATGACAGCAAAAAACAAACAAAACACACACGTCAAATATCAACATCCAAAGAGGAAATCAAAGAGTCCTGAGAGAGTGAAGCCTGTCACCATAACAAATGATGCACGACAGATTAGCACTAAGTAATGCTAAAGATTCACCGTTCCAGTTAACTTGTGAGATACATTAAAAAGCATGATGTATAGGTCATGAATAATGATGTTATGAAAGGTTAAAAGGAGTGGTGTTAAAAATAAATAAATACATAAATCAGCTGTTTATGAGTCTGATACATGTGGGCGCAAAAATGTAAATGAACCAACACAGCCTCACAGCCGGGCTCCGTTTCCCACACACTGAAGATATCATCAAACTGTGATCGATAACTGTCCGTCGCTATCAGCACACACACACACACACACACACACACACACACACACACACACACACACACACACACACACACACACACACACACACACACACACCACACACACACACACACACACACACACACACACACACACACACACACACACACACACACACACACACACACAGGTCACCCTATCGTCACTCACTTTCCTTCATGACTTCCTCTTTTTAGAGAATAAACGCCAAATGGATGTGTGTGTGGGAAAAAGTGTGTGTTATGTGTTTGTGTTGCCAGCTTTTTGTGTAATCTTGATCACCTTAACTGACACACACCACACACACACACACACACACACACACACACACACACACACACACACACACACACACACACACACACACACACACACACACACACACACACACACACACCACACACACACACACACACACACACACACACACACACTCTTTGTTAGGTGTCCGTCGTTCCACTCGGGAAACAATATCTATGCTTCCTCAACCTCATGAGCACGATGAGTTGCAGAAACTCTTTTGTCTTTGTCACAGGGGAACAATTAAGTGTGTGTGTGTGTGTGTGTGTGTGTGTGTGTGTGTGTGTGTGTGTGTGTGTGTGTGTACACATACAGATCTGTACGTCGGCCTGTTCTTCATGATATATAATGAATCAGTAATAGTTTAGATCACAGATATGAGCCTCACTCCTCCACAGGACATCTGCAAATATTTACACAAGAGCAACGCCTCTAAAAGGACACACGCACACGCACACACACACACACAACACACACACACACACACACACACACACACACACACACACACACACACACACACACACACACACACACACACACACACACACACACACACACACACACACACACACACGCTCTGTGTGTGAGGGAGTCTCTTGGGGTGGTGTGTTATTGAAAGGCCGTCACGTACTCTCTGTTATCAGGGGAAATTAGCGGGAAGGAGGGGGACCGTGGCGTTCAGCTCAGATAGTTCATAATCAGAGAACAATGAGGAGCCGGAAACGCAGCTAACACCGACCATTATTCTATATTTATTAATGTGATGACAGGTGGTTACCCCCCTCCCCCCCACACACACTCTCCACCTTCAAGGAAATCCTCTGCATCCTACTGTAAGATTTTGGAGAACGACGCTGACCTGAGGGGGGAGGCAGCTCGGCCGGAGTGTTGGCCGGGGCATGGGCTCCCGGCGGGATGTGGATGTTGTTGTAGTTGGTGTTGGTGTTGGGGGCTCCCGATGCGCCCGGTCCTGGGCCGGGTGAGAAGCCGATCCCCGGGGCGGGACCTGGACCCAGACCCCGGTCCTGGTCCTCGTAGGTGTCTGACGGAGGTCCTCCTCTGACGGAGCCCCCGTGTGAGAAACCCTGAGCGGAGAACCCCTCGGCTCCGTACTCGTCTGTCAGACAAAGAGAAAGAGGAGGAGGGTGAGGATGGTTTAAAGGTCACTTGTTATGCTAGAATTCTACAATTCACTTAGCAGACACTTTTATCCAAAGCGACGTACATCAGAGAGTAAGAACAACACAAGCAAGGATCTAGAAAAAAGGGAACAATGTCAGTAAGAGCAAACGATCAGCTTTGAGTCTGATTGGACACACAGGTGCTGACAGGAAGTGACCAGAGGCAAAGCACAACATTGAGGGCAATTCTTGAGAGCTCTAATCAGTATAGAAACCATCTTATAAGTCGTCGTTATCAAACAAAAACCATCGTCATTACCATCATCATCATCAATAATATGGAGACCATCATCATTAAGTTAGTAGGTATTCATGAAAAGAGCTGGGTCTTTAGCATGGAGTTTGGAAGTTCATTCCACCACCGGGGGGCGACAGAGGAGAAGAGTCTAGTCAGAGACTTAGGACCCTGTTGTGAAGGTTGGATCAGACGCCTTTCATTGGCAGAGCGTAGTGGGGGGAGGGAGTGTAGACCTGGATCAGAGAGTTAAAGTAAGGAGACGTTTTTGTCGCTGTTTTGTAAGTGAGCAGTAACTGGGAGCCAGTGTAGAGATGAACAGCGGAGTGACATGTGCTCTTTTAGGAAGGTTGAAGACCAGTTATGCAGAATACACTTTACCAACACTCATATGTGTCCCTAGTGTTTGACCCCTGACTGTGTTAGAGCTCCTCCCGTTGCCTTGTTTCTCTCCCCATTCAGGTGGAAAGGATTTATTTGGACGTTTTGCAACAAGTTCATTCTTAAAACTCTCCCTGATGTTCCAGCTCACTGAGCCTGGTTTGGGTCCAATCTCTCACATAAATCACTCCATTTGATCGCATTCAAGCTCTAAATGTTCAACCCTGAAAACACAGAAAGTGTCAGCACTGGATAATAAACGAGATGTGAATCCTTAGAAATCAAACTTTTTGGTGCACAAGAAATCGATATTTGGTGCAGACGTTTCAGTCTTAAAGCACATCAGATGACGGTGAGGTCAGAAAGGTTCAAGTGGAAAGATCAGAATTCATGAGATTGAGATGAAACCGAACGACAGCAGAGTGAATAAATCACATTCAGAGACGCTCAGTCAGAAAGTGGTTTAGATGAAAAACTGGGACTGGAGGAGTTATGACTGCGTGCAGCACGACCAATGCAGCGTC